GATTTCTTGTGAAGAAAAAGTGTGCTATTTATAGGTGTTTTTCAACACCTTGGACCGGGTACCCGACCCGGTCCGGTCAAAATCAGATATCCTCCACGTTCTGGTGATCTTCGGCACGTTAAAATGTCTCGGGTCAAGTCAGACCCGACCGGGTACAATACCTCACCCGACCGGGTCCAGCTCTTTCCTCAGCAGTTTTGTTTTCAAATCAGACCCGACCGGGTGAAGTCTTCTACCCGGTCGGGTATTTGCTCCTGGACAGTCAAAATTCATTTTTCTTCACTTCAAAGTCCTCCTTTTCAACACCATAATTCCTAATTCTACTTTACAACTTACAAATGAAGATTAAAATACAATTACAACTAAAATCACAGAAATGTTTACAAATTAAATAAAATGGTAAACAATCCACACAAATCAAACATAAAAAGATGCATTTATGCACTACTAATTAGTGTATATCAAGAGGTCCTAAGAGTAGCAGTGGCAGCGGTTGAGAAGCTTGGATTCACGCCATTTTCTACGTGATATGACGGCATTATGCCCTTTAATTGTTGGTCTTGTATTTGATTACTTACGTTACAAATGGATGGCTTTAAGGTGTTAAAATGCTTCTTAGATGTACTACTATTCGTTTTGTGTTGTAGGGAAGTGAGAGAGGTGTGTTATTCCAATAGGTAGACCCTCTTTAAATAGAGGAGAATTAGGTTTACACAAGGGTTAGACTTCTCAGGCCCATTAGCTCAGTGCATAATATATTAGTGAATATTCTATCTATAATGACAGCACACTACAAGTAATTTCCTTTAACACTCCCCCTTGTGCTGAGTTGTAGATAGAGTGTTGCACTCCCTGTAGCCTTGTGGAAATTTCGTCAAGTAAAAAAAACCCTGTGGGAAAAATAAACCTTGACAAGAGACTAGAGTTTATTGGACTTCATTCATTGAGTCCTTTTGGATTCTTTACTTTGATCGATACTCACAGTTACCTCGTTAAAAACCTTACCAAGTAACAAAAACCCAATGGGAGAAAAATAAAGCTTGGTTTAAGGAAAAGAGTATAACGTGATGGTGTAAGACTCCCCCTGAAGTCTACACCTCCCCCTGATATTTACATTAATCAGGGGATTTCAGAAAACTTACGCATTCCAATGTTTTTCACATGTTTTTCGAATGTGGCCTTGGGCAATGACTTGGTAAACAAGTCTGCTACGTTTTCTTCCGAACTTATTTGATTTACTTGGATCTTGAGGAAGGCCTGTTGTTGCTGATTATAGAAGAACTCAGGAGATATGTGTTTTGTGTTGTCACCCTTGATGTATCCTAATTTCATTTGTTCGATACAGGCTGCATTATCCTCGTAGATGCAGGTTGGCTCTTCAGTGGTAGGATTTAAACCACTAGTTTCTCGAATGTGTGCAATGATAGCTCTTAACCATATACACTCACGGACCGCCTCATGTAGAGCAATGATCTCTGAGTGGTTCGAGGAGGTAGCCACAAGGGTTTGCTTAGTTGATCTCCAGGATATCGCCGTGTTCCCGATTGTGAAAACATAGCCAGTTTGGGAACGGCCTTTGTGAGGGTCGGAGAGGTACCCAGCATCAGCAAAACCTACCAAGACATCATTTGGGGTTTTCAGGGGGGTGACCATTTTGTCCTTTGTGACACCAACTCCATTTGTGGTTTTCTTCGTCTCTCCGTAGGGAAAGAACAGTCCCAAGTCACTGGTCCCTTTAAGATATCTAAAGATATTCTTGATGCCGTTCCAATGACGCTACGTAGGCACAGAGCTAAATCTAGCTAACAAGTTCACTGAGAATGCTATATCGGGCCGAGTGCATTGTGCTAAGTACAATAATGCGCCTATTGCACTTAGGTATGGAATTTCAGCTCCTAATGCCTCCTCGTCATCTTCCTTTGGACGAAATGGATCCTTTTAAGGATCTAGAACTTCGGCCCACCATGGGAGTGCTAGCAGGGTGCGCTTTATCCATGTTAAATCGCCTGAGTACCTTTTGGATATACGCAGACTGGTGGATTAATACTCCACAAACTCGATGTTCTAATTCAAGGCCTAGACAAAATCGAGTTTTCTCAAGGTCTTTCATCTCAAACTCGGATTTCAAATAGCTTGTGGTTTCTCTTATTTCGTCAAGAGTGCCGATTATGTTCATGTCGTCGACATATACAGCTATGATTGCAAATCCGGAACTCGTTTTCTTTATGAATACGTAGGGGCAAAGCTCATCGTTCTTGTATCCCTTCCTAATCAAGTAGTCACTTAGGCAGGTATACCATATCCGCCCAGATTGTTTTAATCCGTAAAGTGAGCGTTTCAATTTTATTGCAAACGCACTCCGTGGTTTAGAGTCACTTGATTTAGGTAGTGAAAGTCCGTCGGGTACTTTCATATATATCTCTGAATCAAGATCCCCATAGAGATATGCAGTAACCACATCCATCAATTGCATTTCCAATCCTTCAGAAACTGCTAAGCTGCCTAGGTATCGGAACGTGATAACGTCCATTACGGGAGAGTAGGTCTCCTCGTAGTCAATCCCAGGGCGTTGTGAGAAACCTTGCGCCACTAGGCGAGCCTTATACCTTAAGACTTCATTCTTCTCATTACGCTTTCTGACAAATACCCATTTATGTCCTACAGGCTTTACACTTGGTGGGGTTAGCACTACCGGACCAAATACGTGCCTTTTTGTCAAGGAATCTAATTTGACCTGGATTGCTTCTTTCCATTTAGGCCAATCAACTCTTTGTTGGCATTCTGCCACAGAGCGAGGTTCGATATCATCATGCTCTATAATTTCTTGAGCAACTGTAAATGCAAATATATCATCGATGTGTATGGAAGATCTTTCCATTAGCACATGTGCATTTTCATAATCCATAGAGATTTCCTTGTTTTCTAGAATCATTTCGATCATCGGAGCGTCCTCCAGTAATGATTCATGGACATAACTATAATCGGAGATAATCTCATGTGATGGATGTTGTTCATCGATGATTAATGGATTAGGTTGTGCCGTACTCGTCCTCTTCTTCCTTGGACGAGTATCAATCGAACCGAGTGGTCTTCCTCTCTTCCTTTGAGGAGCCACAGCCTCAACCACACCTCCACTAAGTGTGGTTGCAGTGCCTCCTACTATGGCACTGTGCCCTCCCTTGGGGACTTCTAACCTTGCAGGCACATTTGCAGCTGGTATGTGTGATCTTGTCACTTTTGCAATATCAGAAAATGCATCAGGCATTGAGTCTGCTACATCTTGTAGGTCTATTATTCTTTTCACTTCACTTTCACAATGTGAGGTGCGGGGATCAAAATGAGACAGTGTAGGAACACATCAGGATAATTCACGTCGTTCTTAGGAAAAATCCTTTTTCTTATCTCCCTCTAACGACGGGAATGTTGTCTCATCAAAGTGACAATCCGCAAATCTTGCGGTGAAAAGATCGCCTGTCAAAGGTTCTAGATAGCGGATTATTGTTGGGGATTCGTATCCAACGTATATACCTAATCGCCTTTGAGGACCCATTTTGGTGCGCTGTGGTGGCGCAATTGGCACATAGACTGCAGAACCAAATATGTGTAAGTGTGAAATGTCAGGCTCATATCCAGTTACCAACTGGTATGCAGAAAATGGTTGGTTCGCAGTGGGCCGAAAGCGAATAAGTAAGGCTGCATGTAATATTGCATATCCCCATGCAGATATAGGCAAGTTGGTGCGCATAACCAATGCCCTAGCTATTGTTTGTAATCTTTTAATAGTAGCTTCTGCGAGACCATTTTGTGTGTGTACATGGGGAACGGGATGCTCTATGTCGATCCCGATAGACATGCAATAGTCATCAAATGTCTTTGATGTAAACTCTCCAGCGTTATCAAGTCTAATAGACTTTATAGGATGATCCGGGTGGTGGGCCCTTAAGTGAATTATTTGTGCTAGGAGTTTTGCAAATGCAGTATTTCTTGTGGACAATAAGGTAACATGCGACCAACGGGTCGATGCGTCCACCAGAACCATAAAGTATCTAAATGGTCCGCATTCTGGATGGATCGGTCCACATATGTCTCCTTGAATTCTTTGTAAGAATGGGATGTTTTGTTTTGTGTCTTTAGCATAGGATGGTCTCGATCCTGTTTTTGCTAAGGAGCAGGCTTTGCAAAATGAGTTTTGTAATGTGGACATAGTTAGGGAAGCATGGGCTAGTTCTTCTTGTGCTTTAGAAGATAATTGTACTTGTGTAGGAGCCGCATGGTTAACAATTTTTGTACTGTGCTGACTTTTCGCCCTTCTTTATACCTTTCTCGAAAGAAAGGGTGTCCATGTGAATTCTTGAGAATTCGAATCATCATGTCACGACCGGGGTGACCAAGGCGATCATGCCAAAGCCTATACGAGTCTATGTCCAACATTTCATTGTTGGAAATCGCATATGATTCGAAGATTCGAATAGTAGTGACATAGAGTCCACTAGATTGACTCATTAATTTTTCTAATATGCGTTTTCTTCCGCTTTTACTAGAGGTAATATATAGGTATTCTATCCCATCCTCACTATGAGTTTCAACGTGGAAACCATTATCCCGTATATCTTTAAAACTTAATAAAGTTCGAGTAGCTCTAGGTGCATATAGAGCGTCTGTGACGTGGAATGTGGTACCGTTAGGTAGCATAAACTTGGAAGTGCCTCGCCCTTGTATTACGTTCGATGATCCAATCATCGTAGTCACAGAGGATTTATAGGCTACTAATTGAATAAAAAGTTGTCTATGTCTGAGGATAGTGTGGGTTGTCCCACTATCGACTAAACATTCGAGTTCTCCTCGGATCATTCCTGTGTAAACATGCATTAGATAATTGTTGGTATATATTTGGATTTCAAAAATTGAATCCAATTATTAAAATAACGATAAGCATGTAATGTCCATAAGCAGGAAATTAAAAGGAATGGGAAAAACATAAAGTTTGTTTAAAATGTCTGGTGGGATAGGGGAAATTTAATCAAAGTCCGGTGCATCGACCGAATGGGTGGTGTTATTTTTAACACCAAAATCCGCCACTGTGAGGTTAACATCAACCTCATTTCCTTCGTCTGTCACAAACTGAGATTCATGCTCCTTTGATTCTCTGTATTTCTTGTAGGCAGCAGCAACTCTATTACTGGTTTGGCAATTCTTATACCAATGACTTGAAACTCCGCATTTGTAGCATGGTTCTTCCCCAATTCGGTCTCGTTTGACTGGAGGTTTTGATGGTGCATTATGGGCCTTGTTAGTTTGACCACTGGTCCCGCCGCTTGTATCTTTCTTCCACACTTTGGAAAATCCTCCACGGCCCGTACCTCGGCCTCCACGCGCGCCGCGATGGTTGCGCCCCCTTCCTCGAGTACGACCCTCTCCTCTTCCACTAGGGTGCTTTCCAGTGTTTGCTTTGCCATAGTTGACCTCGGGAATTTTCTTTGTCCCAACTGGTCTGGCATTGTTATTCAAGAGAACTTGATTTTGTCTTTCAGCAACTTGGAGAAAATTAATTAACTGATTAAATGTGGTTATTCTTTTGTTATTATGCTCCAACCTATACTGGTTCGCTAGTATAAGTGCTGAGGTAGGGAAAGTGGAGAGAGTCTTATCAATAATTTCATCTTCTGTGATTGGTTTACCACAGAAATTAAGGCGCGCTTTGAGGCGTAACATGTCCTTATTAAAATCGTTGATCTTTTTGTAGTCGACTAAGCGGATTTCATTCCATTGCACTGTCAGTTCGGGGAGCAATGTGTCATGTATGTTCCCAAAACGACCTTTTAGTGCGTCCCACAGTTCTTTGGGGGTTTTCAATTGTAAGTATTCCCAGCGTAAGCTAGGGTCAATATGGCGTCTAAGGAACATTAACGCAGCAGCCTTTATTTTTTCAGACGGTGCATTATCTTTTAAACTCTCAGGGTCGGCAAGCGTGGCGGAATAGTCTTTAGCCACAAAAGTGGTTTCTATGTCAGAAACCCAGCGATGGTACTCAAGTCCTTCTGAGTCCAGGATGTCAAACTCGGGTCGAGTTGGATCAGTCGTCTTAAAATATAAAATTGTATGAGTGTCATTCACTACCATTTATCGCTAAAAAAATGAATAAAAAAATGCGATTCTTTGTGTGAAAATTCTTTATCACATAAAAACAATGTCATGTGGTATGTCTCTTTGCAGACAATATTTTGTATAATGCATCAAAGAGAGGATATATATATTTATCTCCTTAAAAAATCATAGAGATTTTTTTTTAGGATGTTATATGGTGTGTTTAATATATAAAATATTAATATTGGTCTAATGAATGGATTAGGTATATCTCTTTTTTTTTTTGAAAAAAAAAGAACGAATTTAATAATCCTTTTAGTAATATTATTTATATTGTTGAATTATTGAAAATATATTTTGCCATATATTTTAATTATATAAAAAATGGATCTTAAAAATGAATTTAATTATCATTTTTTTTCGAACTTAAATAGTATATTTTGACAAAAAAATCGATTTTTTATTTTAAAACAAACTTCGAATTATCAAAAATAATTAATTATCGAATTTTAGTTATCCAAAATTAATTTGTAAAAACGATTTTAATAACATAGTAGTAATTTAATATGCATATATTAAAAAAATGCTTCGTATATGCGGATTACCAAAAATTGAATTTTTTTTTTCGTTTTTTTTATTATTAATTTTGGGAATGAGATTGAATTTTCTATAAAAAATGAAAATATATATAAATTTGCTTCATATTTCGTTAAATAATTTTATTGGTGTGAACAAATGGCAAGTTAAAAAAAATTGACATGAAAATATAGTCTAGAAGTATAAAGAAATGGCATGTACATGAGTCAACCATATATATACACACGTAACATTTTATTATGCGTGTGGGTGTATGCATGTGTCAATTGTATGTTATGAATAATAAATGTGCATAAAAAAATGGAATAGTAAAGTCAAGATTTGTCATATATATTCATTTAAAGGTGGCGGTTTTCTAAATAGAATGGAAAAATTGATTTCATTGATTATTTAGTATTATGATATATTTAGAAGGATATTTTTATATGTTAATAAATTTTGAAAGAAGATTCGCACTTTTAATTTTTAGATTCTTGTCATATATATGTTAATATATTCTTTGCATATTAATTAAACATACGCATATGGGGAAAAAATATTAATATAGATGGAAAGGAATATTAAACATATATTAAATAGTGAAAAGAGTAATCTTACGTGATTACGGTTCCAACTATATGTAAGTGACATATAGCATCACGGAAAAATATAACCACATAATATGTATACAATAAATAAATAAATAAAAATGTATAATATGATCTTAATTCCAACTATATGTATTTAACATATAGCTTTACGGAGAGTATAATCATATAAAGTAAAAGTAAAATATGGTTAATTCGTGTGTTCTTTGATTCCAACTATATGTATATGGCATATAACTTTACGGAAAAATATGATCACATGAATGTACAAAAAAAAGGAAGAAGGATGCATAATGTGATATTGATTCCAACTATATGATTATATCATATAGCATTACGGAATTATAATAAAAAATTGCATCGCGATCTCCAAAAACAAAATGAATCGACATAACATCAAACAATCGAATTAAGATCAACAACAATAGGATTATATAGTTTGAAATTAAAATTAGCCAACTAGATCAATGAACACAGTTTGAAATTAAAGTTTCAATCGGGGATGGATTTTACCTCGATGGATAGTAATCGGAAATTGACCGTAGGCGGACAGCGGTGGTGCTGCGGCTTGGCTGGACGGCTGGTTAGACTGCTGCAGCGATTTGGAGGAGGGAGGCTGCGGACTGCTGCGGCAATTTGGAGGAGGGAGGCGTGGAAAAATTTAGGGTTACGTGCTGATAACGTGTTGTAGGAAAGTGAGAGAGGTGTGTTATTCCAATAGGTAGACCCTCTTTAAATAGAGGAGAATTAGGTTTACACAAGGGTTGGGCTTCTCGGGTCCATTAGCTCAGTACATAATATATTAGTAAATATTCTATCTATAATGACATCACACTGCAAGTAATTTCCTTTAACATTTTGAATGTATTGGGGGTTAGTTTTTTGTGTTTGGGATGTATGTATAAAGTTTTTCAGATCAACGAAGAAAATGGTTTATCAAAACCCCCATTTTCTCAAATCTCTTGTATCTTCGCAAAACTCCCATTTTCTAAAAAAGAACTGGTTTTCACAAACCAGTTAAGTATAAGACCAATATACTTTATTTTGTTCACAATTTGAACATGAGGTCTTGAAAAGAGTTATAGATAATGATTAGGTGAATGCAGCCCACTTTGAATCACTCGATTTGGGTCGGCCAATCAGAGAGTTTTTTCCCAAGGAAGGTACTTTCAAATCTTATTTCCCAAATTATGGTAGTTTTAAACTTATTTCTCACACAGAGGTGTTTTTTGCCTTGTCATCCGGCTGGACGCGCCATGTCAGCGAAGCCTGCTTAATTCTCACTCGCTCGCCACGTCATATATCCATGTCATCTCATTCACATGTGTTTTAACATATAAAAAATCGGGTTTCGCTGACAAGGCGCGTCCAGCCGGATGACAAGGCAAAAAACATCTCTATTTGGAAATAAGTTTAAAATTATCCTAATTTGGGAAATAAGATTTGAAAGTACCCCTCCTTAGGAAAAAACCCGTCAATCAGAAGTTACGACAAAATTATCAAGGCTTGATGCTTTTGCAAAACTCCCATTTCGCAAAAGACCTGGTTTTCCCAAACCAGTTAAGTCTAAGACCGATATCTTTTATTCGATTCTCAATTTGGACATGAGGACATCAAACAAGTTTTAGATAATGATTTGAAGAATCCAACTCACTTGGAATAACTCGATTTGGATTAGCCGATCAAAAGTTACGACAATATTTGTAAAGCCTCATGTTTTCGGAAAATATGACATTTTCACAAAACTTGGCAATTTCGCAAAACTAAGTCCAATCGCAAAATAAATTTAAATCTCAAAAACAAAGTCCAATCACAAAGCAAAAACCTAATCGCAAAACTACATCTTTTCACAAAAACTACTGATTTTCACGAATCAGTTGAGTGTATGACTAGTATCTTTACTTCTGTTAATAATTTAGACATGAGGTCTTCTCAAGAGTTGTATCTCTCATGGAAACACATCTAACACAATTGGAGTCACTCAATTTGGATCAGCCAATCGAAAGTTAAGAAATAATTTGTATATCTAACACCTCATTTTCGTAAGCCAATTGGGCGTAAGACCAATATTTCCTTTCCGTTCATAATTTGGAACTTTTGTTCTTCATAAGAGTTGTAGATAATGTTTAAAAGAGTACAACACAACTGAAATCACTCAATTTGGATCAGCCAATAAAAAGTTATGATCATATTGATAAAGCTTGCAATTTTTGCAAATGGATTTACATTGAAACTTTGAATACAATTTTAGTCGTTTAATTATAGCAAAAACAATGACCGCTGGCAAGAAATATAAATAAGCAGGTTTATCATGGACTGTACTTGGATATAATGTATGGACCCCGAAATACTACACGATTCTTCATAGGCGTTATCGACTTTATGAAGGATGTTGTGGCACATCAAAAGTAACAAGGATTTGAAGAAATATGTCGTAACATGCGAAAAGAAACTGATGTCAATGTGATTTTTCAACACTTGTCGAAAAAGGCTTTCGAAGAAACTACACCGTTTGGACTTTACACGTTGAAATAATGTTTAACAAAAACACTTTCATTCCACGTGTTGGATCAATTAGCTTGAAGCGTAAAGCGCTAGATGCTCTGAATAACCCAAGTGTTCAGGATGATGATGGTGGTGCAGCTAATGACATAACTAATGGATCGCATTGATGATTTGTTAAAGGACGTGCGTGACAATTTTGAAAATCAACCTGATGGTACCATGGAACCCGACCATGGCCCAATTGCGTGAGGTCGGCCCATAAACGAGATTAACCTTTAACGCGATTAATGATAGATAACCACTGGGCCTAACTAGGAACCAAGCCCGTGAGAAGAACCCACAGCCAGGCCAGGCTGGAATGCATGCCTCGAGCCTGGATGGAGTTCTAGTGAGGCTGGGATATTCCTAGGGCTGACGTGGCACGCTATCAGTGGAAACGGCAGCTGGCAGAAGTTAAACGGCTGGAACGTGGGATAAAGGAACAATCATAGCACAACGGCCGAGACATTACAAGAGTCCTATTCAAGCTAATGCATAATTAATAACATTTATTGTATCAATTTCCTTTTGTAACACTAGTTCCTTAGCCTATAAATACAACTTGTAAACCTCCAAAAGGGGGAGAGACATTGATCAATAAAACACTGCCTTACGCTGCCAAATTATCATCTGCTTCCGTAGATTTAGCTCTTGTTGTTGGATTAAACTCCATCATTTGGTGCTCTCATTGAGAGCTCGATCTGCGACGAACTGTGGTGGGATCTCATAGCCACAACCGTGGAGGCAGCAATCTGGGCGGTAATCGTCACGATCAAGTAGTGATCGAAGATGAAGGCTCTCGGTCACGACGGAGTGACTTTCGAAGGCGTAACGACAACACGGCGGGATTGGAGGACCTGAGGAATCGCCTCCAAGGCGTTGAGAGTTCTAGGCGGGCGGCAACACGACCACCGCAGTTTCAGACGCCTAGCACTGGGAACCGTATTCCCAATATTGATCCGGCTCAGGCCCTAGCCAGTTTGGCAACATTCCAAAGGGCGGTGGAAACCCTGACCACTGTTTTCCAAGGCATCATCCCTAATGAGGGTGCGAGATCCCCTTCACCTTGCCGGGCTCCGTCAGTATCCCGGCAGGAGGAGGGGCACGAGCATTCCAAGAGGGGCTCTCCGCCATCTCGATCCCAGTGTTCCCGTCGTTCCAGGCAAACTCCGAGGACCTCGGTGATGGACCGGATTGGTGGATAAAGGGTCTCCGTGCATGACCAGATCTCATCCCGACCTGAGCCGAGCATGGAGGCATCATCCGCAACTGTTTCATCCCACTGCCGCAGTGTGCGTGGGGGAGATCTCAGAGACGAGATCAACGCCAACCGGCAGGGCCACAGGCATCGACGATCCCCATCTCGGCAGCAGGCGGGCCAAGGCAATGAAGATCTCTGGAGGAGGCTAGACGAGCTCCAAAGGGAAGTGGACGCAAGGATTAATCCCAACCATGAGGTGAGGATTCTTGAACCGTTTGTCCGTCAGATTATGGACGCTCCGCTACCCCAAGGATACAAGTCTTGCAATATAGAGGCATATCGAGGGGAGACAGACCCACAGCACCATGTTTCCAGATACGTGGCGTATATGGTGATGACGGGGTATGAAGATGCCATCAAGTGCAGGGGATTCTCGGTAACGCTTGACGGACCGGCTCGAGAGTGGTATGATTCCCTACCTAATGGGAGGATTTGAAACTTTAGGGAGTTGGCCCATGCTTGTGTGACTCGGTTCGCTAGCTCTAAGGATTCCAAAAAAAATCTCATCTCTTGAGGATCAGACAGGGATCCCAGGAGAGCTTGGCTGATTTCTTGACCCGGTGGAGGGACGAATCTGTGAAGGTGGACGACCTGGATGACAAGTCCGCAGTCGCCATACTAACCAACGCTCTGAGATCGGGCGAGTTGTACAAGGGTTTTGTCCGGAACCCTCCGGCCTCACACGAGGAGGCCCTGCAGCGAGCTAACGCGCAAGCCGGAGTAGAAGAAGCTGAGAGAAGAAAGAGAGACGAAGAGACCGGAAAGCACCAACCTGAGGGCGAAAAGAAGAAGACCTTTGAGAAGGAAACCCTTGACCCCGACAAGGGGAATGGGTTCAGAAAGAAGAAGAAGGGTTGGGGAAAGGGCAAATCTGGTGTGCCTGAGGGGCCGCTGACCAGCCACACAGATTTCTCCCCTTCTGCGCATCAAGTAAGTACTGTCCTGGATTATGCTGCGAAGCAGGGCTTGATCGCCGCCCCTGAGGGGTGCAACATCATCCACAGTCAGAATCCCAAGAACAAGTACTGCAAGATCCACAAAACTGACTCTCATCAGACCAACGATTGTTACATCCTGAAGAAGTATGCAGAAAAGCTCGTGCGGGAGGGTCAGTTGGAGCAATTTGTAAAGCAAGCCCAGCAAGGACAGCCTCCAGTGAGAAAACTTACCTGGAGCCGCGAGAAGGACGCACCAACCTCGAAGAAAAGGGAGGTTGGGGCCCAATTTGAAGATGACAATGAAGGAGAGGACACCGGAAGACAGAAACGACCTCACGTCAACCAGATCTACGGCGGACCTGTGGGGGGATACGTAGGGAGAAAAAAAGAAGTGGAATCGCCAACTATTCGTCGGCGAGATCAGCCGTCTTCCCGCCGATAAAAGGCAGAAACGTGAGTCAATAACTTTCACAGATGATTATTTTCCCCCATGTCCCCCACCACATAGGGACAAGCTAGTGATCAAGATGGAGGTCACAGACACGATCGTTCACAGGGTGCTGGTGGACAATGGCAGCTCGGTCAATATTCTTTACATGGATGCCTTCCTTGAGGTTGGGCTCAGGAGAGAAGATCTCAAACCGGTAAGAACCCCCCTTTCAGGTTTTACTGGAGATATAATTGAGCCCGAGGGAATGATAACCCTCAAGATCCAACTCGAATCGGAACCCTGCATACGGGAGATTGAAGCGGACTTCATCATTGTCCAAATACCGAGCGTACACAAGGCCATCCTAGGCAGACCCCTGTTGGAAGACCTGGGAGCCATTATTTCCCAGGCCCACCTATGCATGAAGTTCTACACTCCAGCTGGGATTGGCATGGTGAGAGGGGATCAGAAGATGGCCAGGAGTTGCTATGTGAGGGCCTGCAAGGCTCACGGGGGAAGTGACATGAGGATCAATGCCATTGAACAAGACCTATATAAATATGAGGACGGGCAACTCAGAGCCCAGCCGGCCTCAGAGCTCCAAGAGGTCGGGGTCGACCCATCACGACCAGAGCGTCAAGTGAAAATTGGGGCAGGACTCCCAGCCGACCTGAAAGCGAAGATAGTCCAAGTTCTGGTAGAATTCAAGAT